CTCTATTTCCCTTGATTCTCCTCCTGTCCCACTATCATGCTCAGTCCCCACCAGGATTTCAGCAATTCCTCTTTGTTACATTCCCCTTGATCATCTCTCACACCCATCTCACCACCCATTTGGATCACTTGTTCCCTTGTCCCTGGGTTTGTTAATACCACTTCCTTTCCTCTCATTGATGTACTTTTATAGACTTTCCAAGGATGTTATTTGTTCCTTTGTATAGTAAATCCTGTCTTTTGTTTTCACTATCAAGTAAGAGCTACATTGAAAAAATATTTAAAATCATACTTATTTTGCCAATATGTGAGGAAAAATATTGATTCCAAGTATTTCTCTTTAGCTATTTTTTAATTTCTATTTTATTTATCAAAATTACCTCTTTTTTGTTAATTGATAGTACAATTCTTTGCAAAGGATTTATGCAGTATTTCAAGCTATTCCACATTTGGGGTCTGAATTTCAGAAAAATCACATGGTTTAAAACTTTTCATGGTTTATGTTGACTATGATATATTACAAGATCCTGTGATGGAAAGTTTTTTCAGCTTGACCGTTTTGTGTACTTCAGGTATAGTCATTGTTCTTGTAGGTGCTGTGGAGTTGGTTCAGACTTGCAGCGACCCTATGTCCAGCAGAATACTGCCTGGTCCTGCACCATCCTCACAATATTTGTTGGTGTTGAGCCCCCTGTCGCTGCCATTATGTCCGTCTACGTTATTCTGGGTCTTCTTTTTCACGGCTATCCACTGGACCAAGCCTGGTGTCCCAGTATCATGTCCACATGATAAGAGCCCTTTGAAAGTATGATAATTATGAAAAATGACTAGGGAATTAGAACTGTTAATTTTTCTAAAGTATTTATGAGGGGGGTACCTTTAAAAAAAAAAGCTGCCGGGTGGAGCTTTTGTTGTATGCATTTTCCCACTCTGGAATCACCAAGCCACTCACGCTGAGGGAGTGCACTCAGTGACATCGCCTGGGAAGGTTCTCTGTGGTCACAGTGAAATTTTTAGTGCAAGCAGTTTCTCAGCCCTCGTTTTTTGTGATGGCTGATTTAAGAGAACAGCATGCAGCTATGAAATTGTGTTTCCTGCTCGGGAAAAGTGCCACAGAAACTGTTGTGATGCTGCATATGACTTACAAGGACAGTGCTGTGGGGAAAACTCAAGTGTACCAGTGGTCTTCTCATTTCAAAAATGGTGAAATGTCCATTGATGACAAACCGCATTCTGGATGTCCACCAACTTTCTCAATGGGCGAAAATGTTTACTTGTAGTGCATTTGTGGTTCGTTCCACCAGGCCAGACTGTTAATCAAGCTTTCCATTTAGACTATACATTTTAAGAGGTTCTGAAAAGATTGCATAACTGTGTGACAAAAAAGGCCTGATTTTTAACTAATGGGGGACTGGTTTTGCCACCACAACAATGCACCTGCTCATGTAGCCATCTCAGTGCACCAATTTTTGGCAAAAAACAGCGAAGGAGGTGTTGTCAGCCATCCAAACAGATGAGTTTGAAAACTGTTTCGAGGAATGGAATCACATGATGGCATTATATATACAAATGTGCTTGATACAATTGGTATATGAAATGTTATAAGAGCTGTAAGAGCCCCCCAGTAAAATGATGGTTAAAAAAAAGAATGGAATCACAGATTTGATAAATATATTAAAAGTATAATGGAGAGTACTTTGAAGGTGATAAGGTTGTTTTATTAAAAATTTAAATACATAGCTTTGGTGGGGAGAGGGGATTCCAGTTTTTGTAGGGGTACCCTCATTCTTTTGAATAATACTGACTGACTACTGTGAAAAATGAGAAAACTACCATTCAGTGTTTCATTTGGCTTTGTGATTTGTGTAGTTATATTGTTACTTTTCTACTTTTAGTATTTAAACATTTACATTCTGTTTTATCATTATTTATGGCATCTTTGTTATATATTTAAAACAATGAAATGATTTGCCCACTCGTTTATTTATTTTGATTATCCTTGAATTGGCTGCATTTTGTCATCAAACATTTTATTTCCTCGAGAAAGCTAAGGAGATTCCCTTCTTGAACTTCTAATTTACTTCTTACATAATTTTTTTTTTACATAATGACAACTTATTTGGTATAATAGAACAAAGAACTTTGTAAACTGTTATATTTTAGCATGCGTGCTGGAAACTATAAGACCAGATGGATGTTTACTTCTGTCTTTCATTGTTTCTGTGTCTTCGCTTACTTGCCAAAGCCAAGTTGGCTGTCGTCAAGTCTATTCCGACTCTTTGTGGCCCCATATTGCTGTTTACTTTCAACTTTTATTCATTCCTCTCCTCGTTATTAAAACAAAACATTTTAAGGGAAAACTAATTTCTTGATAAAACTTTCCCATTTCATTGTAATTATTGTTCTTCTACATGTAGTATACCTCTCTCTCTCTCTCTCTGTCTCTCTCGGCTTTTATGGTTTCCTAATTATTAATTACTGAAAGAAGCCTGATATGACCATGCTTACGTGCTTGCCTGATAACCTAAACGTCAGCAATTTAAAGCCATCAGTTGCTCTAGAGAAAAGAGCCCTTGCAATCTGTTCTCATAAAGTTGATAACCTATAAAACTTTGTAGGGCTGTTCTTTTTCCTCATATAGGGTTTGCTATGCATCTGATTCAGCAATTATTATTGGCTTAAAGCAATTTTATAATAGCCCTTAGTAGAATCCCCACTTCTTTTAGCTATTTACTACCCATTTATTCAGCCTTTAAGAATTGTTTCGTA